CCAGCCAGCCAGTCAGCCAGCCAGCCAGCCAAAGTGAGATTAAAAGCTACTTTAAAAAAAAAATTTTTTTTGCAAAAATGCGCTAAAAATATATTTCATATATCAACTATTAAAGTCCCTTAAAAATCTCCACAATTGCTAAACAATCGGTCGCACCCCTCGGTAAACTGATGCATTATAGTTTGTTGCTGGCTGATGACTAAATGGCGAAAGAACAGTTCTAGACAATGAAACTATGATTTTGCCTCTTCAAACGTTCTATTAATTGTGTTTGAAATAAAAAGACCCGAGGGACATCGACTATGAGCATTCCAGAAACGGTAAGAGACGAGGTTAGATACACTAATTTGGTTAAATTAAATGGGAGAAAATAGCTATTTTTGTTGGCTTTAATATTTTACCTTGAGTAAAACCACTTCACCAAAGCAACTTTTAATGCTCTTTAAGGTGTAGCTGTTTTAATCCGACGTTTCGTCTTTGCGGAACCCTCGGCGAAACCATCATGTTTTTTTAAATACGGGTCTGATATTCCGATATCATATTCTTAAAACCTTGTTTATTCTGAATTCAGTGATGTATAACACTAACACTTGATGGTTTAATTGCGGTTTACCGCCCATGTCGAAGTGATCAAATGTAATGTCGTCTTGCCAACAACACAATCAGGATTTCGGTCTAGAGTTTCTAGTGCTGTTGCACTTACTCAATTTATCCTTGATGCTATATTGACCGCGATAGATACGTAAGCGTACTTTATTTACTGTACATGAGAAATCATAATATTGTGCTATCAATCTTAGGCAATGCATGTAGATGTATCTGCTATTCTACTAGAAGGGAATTTCTCCAAAATCTTGTACTTGGTGTACCTTAAGGATCTATGTACACAACATGATTTACTCATGTATCCAAGTAAAGTTATTTTTGGAAAACAAAAAACCGTGAGATAGTGCAGGGAAATGTGAAAATTTGCTCAAGAATAAAGTATTAACATTTCTAAAGGTGTAACAAAATGAGGAAAGCTTCTTTCAAACATAAAAT